AGTGGACCATTATATACTAATAAATTATGGCTATAAGAAATGTAAATACGTAATTTTTAAAATCTAACTATTGTTTAAGCTAAAAATTTAAACCCTGTCGGCAATTTACCGTTAATTTACTCCTCCGGTTCAGTAGAGCTTTTTTTGTCAGCAAATTTGATTAACTCTAATTTTTCATATAAAAATAAAAAGTATCGTTCATTTAAAGATTTCTAGTTTGTTTTTTGTTTTTTGATTTTTTTGTTGTAGTATTTTCCATTTTATCGTAGGAGTTTTTATTTATTTTTTAAGTTCCAAAAATAAAGGACGTCATATTTCTGTACGCGTTATTGAAAAAAGATTATGCATGTTGGTACCACCTAGTTTTAAAGGAATTCTTGGTACTCCCGATATAAAATTTTTAACTGTTGGATTTTCTATGGGAGAAATATTGCCTAGGTAAACAAGGGAGTCTGTTTGACATATGTTTTGTAATGAACATTCGTTATAATTTTTACAATTGCACTTGTTCGTATTATCTGGGTTTGTTGGTTTAGAATGGCAATTATTACTCAGGTTTTTGTATTGATTTAAAATGTTATTATGTTTTTAACAATTTTTTCCAGATTATTGGTACAGCTGTAACTTAATTTTATCGTATTTCCATTAAAAATCTTACTAAGTGGATTATTTCTGGTGAAGTTCTTCTCAATTAATAGGAGAAACTTCTGCCCTTAGTGCTAACCATTTGGTCATATATATATATATATATATATATATATATATATATAAGAAAGAAAGAACAGTAAGATATATAATCCGGTGTTCTTATAGATATTTTTATTTTTACAAAATAGTGCTCAATGTAAATTTACAGAGCATTAATATTATAAATTAATTGATTTAAAATGTTTTTCACTACACAGTTCTAACCATGTTTCAAAAATGGAAGCTAAAAACTTCGAATTTAATTTTGTAATTAAATTAAAGACATTAGTTCCATTTCATCCTCAAACGAATTTTCATGCTTGATTGAAATCTCCAGGTCATGATTGAAATAAGCATACCTTAAAACTATATTTTTGTCACATATATATATGCGTGTGTGTGTGTGTGTGTGTGCGTGCGTGCGTGCGTGCGTGCACCCGCGTAGCGTATCCATTAAAGGTGTGCGTGAATGTATTTAATTTTGAATATTTAAAGGCGGTTTTTTCATGTGGGTAGATGACAGGACATTTCTTTATTTGCTTTATACCTTACTATCTTTCCCATGTAGTTATAGGATTTCATATATAGGTAATAGAAAGGACGCTGTCGAGAACCATTATAGCTATATGCTGAAGAGACATTGAATTTAAAAATATTTTAAAACAACATTTTTTTTAAAAAAATTTATTTATCTTCACACAATGTGAGCAAAGGTAAAAAAAAAAAAAACCCAAAAAAAACAGATCATTAACAAAAGGCGGTAAATTTCTGCTTCCGTTTCCTCTTGTGCGAAAAAAAAATTGCTTCCTTCTTTTCAATTTTTTGTCTTTTTCGTCTTTCCCTCGGTCGAACTCTAGAAAAAAAAAGTAAAGAGTCGGGGGCGGGGAGAAGAGAAAATAAATATAAAAATCAATGTTACGAGAACCCATTTTAGTTTTTAATTTATTTCTGCTTGGATCTCCGAGAACAGACAGTATTTGTTTTTTGCCTTTTTTTTTTTTTGCCTTCGCTTCTCTTTGCGTTCGGGACGTGCGCTTCGTTCGTTCGTTCGTGGAAGTGTGTGTTCGATGGCGCGCCTGTGTGTCATTTCAGAATAGATGCTCGTGGATGCGTAAGGGTGAGCTCTCCCCACTCCGTCTCTCGATCGATATGAAATAGCGTTTGTCATAGTCACTAATACTTACCGTTTACACTCGTGTAAAAGTCGATCCAATGTTAAAAAAATAATTACTAATAAGTAGACATCTGTTAACATATATATATATATATATATATATATATTATGAAATAGACAAAGTCATTTGTTTACATTTGGATACGCATCGAATGTACAAGAGAAAATCTTGGAGAATTGTAGTTTTAAAAAAAACCCAGCAAAATCGACCTCGCTAACCGAAACGCTCCTCTGTGGCTAAATCGGTAAAGCACGTCAGGCTATGTAACGGTTCCGTATAGGATACAGGTTCGATTCCTGTCGGAGGACGCATATTTTCTATTAAAATTTTTCGGACATTCAGGCCGGTGAATGTTGTTAATACTGGTTATTATAAACAGAACATTTACTTAAATATTTGTATGTATAAAAAAAAACGTTTAAACATAAAAAATGTATTATATATATTTCTGTTTAAACGTTATTTTAATAGATACAATTAATGTAGGTAAATGCTATATATTTTAATTAAACAGTATTAATTACATTTACCGGCCTCAATGTTCGAGAAATTTCGTAGAAAATATGCATTCTCCAACAGGAATCGAACCTGTGTGCTATATGGAACTGTCATTTGATCTGATGTATAGGACACAGGTTCCATTCCTGTCGGAGAATGTATATTTTCTACGAAATTTCTCGAACATTCAGGCCGGTAAATGTAATTAATACTGTTTAATTAAAATATATGGCATTTACCTAAATTAATTGTATCTATTAAAATAACGTATAAACAGAAAATATATTAATAATTGTCGAACTTAATACATTTCCTTAAATATATATATGCATGTATGTATTTGAGTGTGTGTGTGTGCGCGCGCGCATACACCTTTGTAACTAAATAGAACTGCTGTATGGAATAGTCATGCCGGGGCATTTTTTCAGCGCATAGCATTAGATTCAAATAAACGTTCCGCGAGGAATTTTTAGGTTTAATAAAAGTGGAACGAAATTATCGTGCCGCGGAGGATAATTGAAAAATAATAAGCAAGCCATACTAAATAAACACCATTTCAGTATAAAATTGTAAAAAATACTGTAACCCGCTGTGTATAGAACGCTAGCGAGTATAAAACAAGGAGAGAAATTCCAAGGAAAAAGCTTATTTCCATGTATAATACGCACCTGATTTTAGAGCAAAAAAAATGAACAGCACTTGAGAAAAAGAGAAGAGAAAAAAATGAAAAAAAAAAAAATGAACATTTTTGTTTACTTTTGTGATTCGTAAACATTACGAAAAATCTCTTCGGTCATAAGACGACTAAGTCGGCGATAATTATAAAATAAATCAGAAATAAGATTGAATAAATATTTGTTTGTATGTTTGGTTTTAATTTTTTGTGACAATCTGATGTATTTCTTTCGAAACTATTTGTCTACTCCTGAAAAGAATTATTTGTAGTACTAAAAATTGTAGTACTAAAAATTGTAGTACTAAAAATGACTTTGTGAGGAATCCCGCTCATATTATTGTGCTCACGATCATCCGAGATCTGAGAATGGAAGGTTGTCCTTGTCATGTTCTTCAAACTCTCTTTCGTCTTCGGACCCGTAAAACTAATCGAATTCTTTCTCTGTCACATTGAGGTACACATCTGAGTAATATGTAGCGTCGGCGAGATCGTCGTCGCCATCGTTCGTTTCTTGTGGAACCTCTGTTGACCGCCGTCCTTATATGAATTCCCTGTAGAGGATGTCGTCTTCATAGATATATTTCCCTTTGTTGCAATATGCCATTCGATAGATATTATCTCTTCGATAAACAAATGAATCCAATCTGATTTTGTCCGTTCTGAGGCCTGGAAAAAATATGGTTGAGTTCTAAACTATAGTATAAGACAAAGCAGTCTTCGACACACTATTTGGAATGAAAAGACTGAAATTACGGTTATCTTGCCTGAACTTTAATTTGATAAACATGGGTATCTTTTTTTTTTCTTTTTTTTTTTGTCACCAAATGTTTTAGAAAAATGTAAGAAACTCGCCATTGACTGGACACTGCTTGCATCGCATGAACGTATTTCTATCCGATTGACACTATAACAAAAATTAATTTACTTGAACTGTAACACCAGTCTTCCGCTAAAAAATTTGGTTACTCGAACCGTAACTCCTCCGCTATGTGTCACTCACAACTTCGACTAGATTCACTAAAATAGAATTCTTAGTAAAATTCCCAGAACAATTCTATGGATAAGAAAAATTGGTATAAGAATAACAAAAGGAAAAAAAGTCATAGTTTTTGCCAACGTGTTTCATCTTCCGACTTTAACAAGGCAAAATTGAAGCGAATTTTTTTTGTTTTCTACGTTACATTAAATCCACAATTTAAAAAGAGAGAGACGATTCTGCGTAAGCCTCTTTCTGGCTAATGCTAACTTTTTTTATACAAAGGGTTTTTTTTTCAATGTCGGTGATATGGTAAAATTCCCAGATCAGTTCTGAGGATAAGACAAATTGTTATAAGAATGACAATAAGAAAAACAACTTAATTTTTGCCAACGCGTTTCTTCTTTTGATATCACTCAAGTGTCGGCCATTAATACAAAATGGCCACCAGTCGAACAAAAGCGGGAATAAGTGACATCACATTACGTTTGGTTTGGTTTGTTTTACGGTATTTCAACCTCAATGGACATCACATTACCATTGAGAATAAATTAATTCAACAATCCAACAGTTTCTAGTTGCACCTTTCATAGCGAACAATTGTTTACTTATTGAATCAAATATAAACCTGATCCATGTGTATAAACAGGACCAATGATTACCTATAGACTTAAATATGATTGAGATAAATTTTGAAATTGAATATCCTCGTATGACATATCATAAAGTCAACCAGTTCAGTCCAACGTGACCCTAATCCAAACTATATTTGAATTTGTAGTCGACTTTTGAATTTGTTTGCATGTTTTACGCATTCATCTCGTGGATACACAACGGTGTGATACAGAGGGAACGTTTACCATCACTCTTTGAGTGATTGCTCGGCTTCGTTCTCTCTCACCCCCCTCCCTCTCTCTCTCTCTCTCCATCTCAATTACTATGTTTGGTACATCTACAAGATCACTGATAGAACTGGACTGTCGAATGCTTACGGCCACAGCAGGTTGAAACACCGGTTCCCGTACGACCACCGGAGTTAAGTAGTGTCGAGCCTGGTCAGTACCTAGATGGGTGACCACTTCGGAGTACCAGGTGCTATAAACTTGGATGTGCAGATGGTGTAATAGATAACAGCTGAGAATTGTTAATTGGAAAGCTGAGTTCCAATTGCCGTTGGGAACGTTATACTCACTTACACGCAAATACCCTTGGGAAAAGTATGAATCCATCTAATCTTCCCCCAGCTATAAGTTAATTAGTAAGATTTGTATCATTAAAACAATTATTATCTCAAAAAAAATAAATAAATAAATAAAATAAAATAAAAATTGCGTACAAAATATTTAAGTTTCGGCATTAAGTAACCCATAGAGATTGCTCTGTCTCAAAAACAAAAACAACCAATTAACTAGCAAAAAAAAAAACTAAAATACATAGCACATGTAACAACATAAACAAGATGTTGAGATTTCACATTGCTTCAAACAAAAAGTTAGGAAGGAAACACCCATCAATACAGGAAAGAGTAATATCAATTATTGTTAAATCTATTTTCCTGAAGAATTATTTTACAAGAGTTGTTCTTTTTTACAGTAAGGGTCACTCTTCACAAGGCCCTGGGACCACTCAAGGTAGAGTGTTAAGTTAGTAAGCCATCTGTGTGTATAAGTGAGGGAGATAACGATTAACCCTTTTAGGAGTCGGTTCCACAGGGAAGTGGTTCGTGGGAAGAAGCTGCTCGAGTGGAACTTACTTCTCACCGATGGAATATAAAGGGAATGGGGGTGATTTGCTATATGTAAGCGGCATGGCGTGTTCTTGCCATGAAGGTTTGCTTTGGTGAGACCAGGGATTTTGTTAAAATTTAAACCCAAATAGCACTAATTACTCAGTCAATGAATGCCGAATGTTTCCTTATATGAAAATGATAAACATTGCCATACTAATTTATTTTAATGTTTATTATTATCATTACTATTTAAATTGTATCATTATATATTATTATTATTATTTGAACAAATCATATAATACAGTTTGAGTATCCTTTATCGGAAATTCCAAAATCCGAAAACATCCAAAATACTATGATCTAAGAAAGGACTTCAGTAGTACAAGCTAATAGTAGTTTCCGTAATATATTAGGATTAATTTTAAGTGGGGGTAAAGATGAGTTACTGTATATATTTCTTATAATTATGTCAATAGTTTCACTAACAGGGACATTGGTAAATAAGTTTTCAACATCAAGTGAAGTCATGATTTCATTGTTGGGTTTTTTTCACTTTTTTAGGATTTGGATTACTTCTAATGTTGACTTAACACTATATTTACTAGGAAGGTAGGGAGTAATAAAATTGGTTAATGTATTTTGTTAGATGATATACAGGAGTTGGAATTTGCGATATGATAGGATGGAGAGGATAGTTAGGTTTATGTGTTTTTATAGTGCCATATATGTAGCCAGGTCTATAATCACCAAATAATTTTAGGGAGTTTTAAAGAGTTCTGTTCAGCATTATTAGCATTAATAAGTTTATTGCTTTGATTTTAGTTGGTTGGTCGGGTTCTTGTTAAGTTTTTTAAACTTTATGTGATCATGGAGTATGTGGTCAAGTTTTTTCTTGTAATCCAATTTGTTTAGGATGACGAAAATGTTGGTCTTATCAGCTTTTTTTGCAATTATGTCAGGGTGGTTGCGTAGTTCTTGTGCTGCAAATTTTAGTTGTTTAGAAAGTATTTTTGAAGAGTTTCTGCTCTTATCATGCCGATCTTTGAATGCCTCGGCCTTAAGTAATATATATATATATAGTAGAATTAACAAATCCGTTGGTATATCCGTTGGTGGATACTAGTAATATAAAATATTAAAACTGATCTATAAAATGAGCTCAGTATATTTGTCATTACAGAGCAAATAATTAATAAACAATAAAATCCAAAATCACCTCATATGGAGAATATACTATTTCGACAGACGAAGATATCGGCCGTCTGTTTTATCAACCCCGGTGTGGACTGAGTTCGTGCCAGAAATAGTCAGACGAAAGGCACGAGATAGGGATCAGAGGAAGGTAGAAAGTATTTGTATTAAATGTAAGAAGTTTTATAAAATTAAACCCGGATATTAACCTATGACATTAATTTGGAGTTATATGAAGAATAAAATATTAAAAGATCTCGGTTGAAATGGGTAAATTTTGTATGAGTTTTTTTTTTTATTTTTTGTTTTGTTTTTTTTTTTGTTTGTTTGTTTTTAGCTTTCACGGTTAAATTTTCGAGAGCAGCTGCCAGTTTTACTTTAGCAATCCTAATGGACTTACTACAAAGACAAGTGTAAATAAATCTGTCATCAGCATAAATATCGAGATGACATCGGCCAGTTGTCCACCTCCTCAAACTATTCATATTTATTTTTAACTTTGTGACATAAGAATTCAGTCTTAGTATATTGATTTATTTTAATATAATTTTAATCAAATAAATCTATTTTGTGACGCACGAGTACTATTTAGTGTAAAATTAGCATAACTAAATTTTCAAGGCAATAAATGTGATAATTTATATGCAAATGACTTCAAAATAGTCATACTAGATTAATAAGTAGACAAGCATCATATATATATATATATATATATATATATATATATATAATTTAAAGAAAATATATATATATATACCACTTTTAAGGCCACTCCATTGTAATAGTTTATTTCACCAGAGACCTCCTTAGGACTACCCATACGGATTACCAAGTTTTTCGTAACTAACTATATATATATATATATATATATATATATATATATATATATATATATAGAGAGAGAGAGAGAGAGAGAGAGAGAGAGACAGACAGACAGACAGACAGAGACCTCCTTGGGACTACCTATACGGATTACCAAGTTTTTCGTAATTTAACTATATATATATATATATATATATATATATATATATATATATATAGATAGATAGATAGATAGATGGATTATGATTTTTTTGTAACTCCAAATTTTTTCTTTTTTTTTTTTTTTTATCCTCTGCAAGCCGCAATGATTGAGAAAGCATTACCTCACAGTATGGTGAGTGAGACACGCTGCAAGAGCCACTCCGTTTCGCGAGGCTCGTCGCTTAATCGAGACGCCATCCCGCCAACCCTCCGAAGGAACGCCATCTAACGACGAGCAATAACCCCAGAACTCTCTACTGTCACTGGAGTAAAAATAAATTTTTCCTCAAGAGACGAATTTTTTTTTTCATCTCCGCGTCCCATGCGACTGATCCCCTGATCAACACCGGACCTAATCAAGTTATCCATCAAAAGTATATCGGCACGTCGCATCCCAAATCAACGACTTCCCCACTTTCAAAGGGAAAATAAAAGTATATATATATATATATATATATATAAAGTCCGGCAATTATATTAATATATTTTTAGCTTATACGTTATTTTCATATATACAAATATTTACGTAAATGCACTGCTTATAATATACAGTATTAACAACATTTACCGGCCTGAAGGTCCGAGAAATTTTCATAGAAAATATATGTCCTCCGACAGGAATCGAACCTGTATCCTATACGGAACCGTCATATAGCCTGACGTATTTATATCATTTGACTTTGCTATACAGAGGCTTTCTCTGTAGCTAAATGGTATAGTACATCGGGCAATATGATGGTTCCGTGTAGGATATAGGTTCGATTACTGTCGGGGGACGAATATTTTCTATGAAAATTTCTCGGACATTTAGGCTAGTAAATGTTAATACTGTTTATTATAAACAGAGCATTTACCTAACTATTGGTATCTATAAAAATCACTATCTATAAAATGCAGTGTGTGTGAAATGAATGCACGGCCGCAATTTTCGATGGATTTGTACCAAAATTTGCATGCACATGCTCCAAGTTAGCGCCAAGGCCAAGACCGCCTTTGCATTTCCCAACTCCCATCGATAGTGGAAATAATCGATTTTTTCATGCTTCTACGGCAGTTTTCATGTAGTTTGCTGCCATTTTCTACTGGCCAGAGTGAGAGCCAATAGCTGGCTGCCAAGAATAGGTAGGAAGAGTCTATTAGCCAGCGTGAGAGCCAACAACTGACTGAGAGGAATGTTAACTAGCATGCTAGCATGCAAAAAAATATCGATAGCTGCATTCGTCACAAGTGGGAAAAATTTAAATCTGCATGGCACTTTATTCCAATTGGCTCATTCACTTGCTTAAAATCAACGTTGATTCTGATTTGGCAGAACTGGGTTGGGTGTGAAAAAGTATTCTTTTTTCATTCGGTTTTTCCAGTTACGAGTCCTTTTTTTTAAGCTGATCGTTTTGTGTTCATTTTGTTTAGTTCTTTTTTTCGTAACAGATTTAATGTTTAGTACAGAGCTTAGAAAAATTCGCCCAGTGTGAGATAGGCAAGAAGTAAGGCATGTAGCAACATCAGCACGGCAAAGGGCACTCCTTTAAAGGCAAGGAAGGGCAAAAAATTTTTAAGTCAAGTGATAGCGATTGCTGTATGAGTCGTACGATTTTGGAATCAAACATGGGCAACGCCGGGCCATGCTGATAGTAACGTATAAAAAGAAAACATTAATATATGAAGAAATAATAGATTCATTTTTGATCCGACGTTTTTATTATTTCAGTGAAATCTTATTATACTTCATACTTGCAAGTATTTCTCGAATGCCCAAGCCGATAGACGTAATACACGCTGTTTAATAAATAAAAATGGGGCGTCTATTTTTAATACGAAGTATCCACTAGAGTAACGTTTGAAGTAATAAAAAAATATATTGTAACAAATAAAATTAACTATTCACTTATCTGTCCCTAAACAGAGTTTCGCAGAGATTACACCCATTATGTTGTATCTTCGCTATTTGTATCACAAGCAACAGAATACACCATGAGACTGGAACAGCACTCACTGCAAGGAAAGACTCATCATTACAGAAGATATTATTATACAAAACAATCTACACACATTAAATAAAATGAATTTTGCCACAGAAAATTATATCTTAAAGAGTGCAGAAATTATCTAATATGCGTAGAAAATTATAATAATATCTGATACATGATTTTTCAGTGC